TGCTCGGGAGAAGCAAGATGGCCGGTGGGCTGGCTTCCACCGCTCGGTTCAGTGCAATGCCAGCTGGCGGCTGCCCGCGCCGCTACCGAAAGCATGCACACGGCGGGGTCGCAGCGGCGACGCTGCTGCTGGCTGCTGGCAGAGATCGGTCAAGCTGACGTGCTGGCTCGGGTCGCACGGTGCTGTCTGTGCCACCCGACATACAGTACACGCTGTTGGACGGTACAACGTGTTGGTGCTGCTCGGCTGGGGCTTGATGCAGGTACGGGTGGGGCTGGGATGGGGTGCAATGTCCCTAGTGGCAGGGAACAGGCGCGTCGCTGTCTCCTCCTTTCGTCCACAAAAGGCTCCTTACGGTCCAGGGAACAGTGCAGGGTTCACACTGCACTGTGAGCTCAAAGGCGGCAGAGCGGGATATCGGTAACAATTCCAGCTCCGAAAGGAGTAATGCGTACTGGGAGTGTTATCAAGGGGGCGCGCAGCGAAATGGAGGAGCTTCAGGCGTGGGACGGACTGCTACACACTTTTCGCAAGAGGTGTCGTACATGCAGCCGGCCGCCTTGCTCACCTCACACAGGTCCTCCAATGAGGTTACCGTACCCACGACTCATCGTCGCGCAGCCCGAAATTTTGGTAATTAATTTTGGAAGTCGCGCACCCCTGATGACATGACTCAAAAACAAGGTTGCGCGGCAAACTACGATTACAACCCTGGACAACAACCCGTTTCCCCTATGTTGCCGCCTGATTCAAACAAAGCTGCGAACCAGAATCACAGCTCACCACCCTGCCTCGTCCTCCTCCCGGGCCCGTCACTCTCCCCCGCGCTCTCCCACGCGCCCTCCTCCTCGCTTCCGAACCCCCCATGCATCGCTCTCGACCTCCCAGCTGCTGGCCACTTCACCGTCACTCTCCCGCTCCGTTGCCACCCCCCTTCATGTCGCTGCCTATGTGCCCGCTGCCGCCGCCCTCTCTGGCCTCAACCCGACCCCCCTTGTGCTTGCCACTGGGCCCGGCCGCAGCCCCGGCCGCTAGCTGCTGTGGCGGCGGTCTTCACCGTGCTCCCGCGAGCCGCCGCCTTTGCCGGCGTGGCGCCCTTGCTTGCTGGCCCTCCCGGGAGCGTCCAGCTGCGCCTTGCGCTTGCCCCGCTCCCAGTGCCCGGAGTTTTGAGAGTCATGCAGGCTGTCACACATTTAAATTTTTTTAGGCCGCGCAACACTTGACGGAATTGTTAAATTCTATTTAGCACCTTTTCATTGAATTATACCTTTTTTATGCGCGACGATACCCTCTGTAATGCTTGGGCGGAGCAAAGGCTACTCGAGTGCTGTGCGACGCCTATCTTAGGTTTTTTTTGTTAGGAATCGACGATTACAAGGGGGACCGGTTTTCACACCGGTCGCTAGCCGTACAGGCTAGACAGACTGTCCATCCTACCCCAGGGGCACCGCAAAGGGGTGCCAACAGCAAAGCCACCAAGGCCCACCAGCACCAAGCCCGCACGACGCACGAAGCGTGAAAGAGTCAAGGAGCGCCGACCATGCTCCTGGAGAACACCACACAAGTAGCTCCCAACCGAGCCCCTGGACAGGAAGCGCCGACCAAGCTCCTGGTCCATCGCAAGGGTGCAGCCGAATATGCACCCCGAGTCACACCAAGACAGCGCGACTTGGCAGAAAGTCTGGCCCTTGTAATTCCGCATCCTGTTTTATAGCGAGCGCCCCCTAGTGGGACGCGGCAGCACGGGCTGCAAAAACGAAGGCCGCACGGGCGGACCCTCCTACCACGCGTTCAAGACGCAACCCAAGCGTCAACAACGCAACCCGCTGTCCGAGCGAGAAGGCAAATCCAAACGATTGCGAATTAGCCTGCTGCCCAACGTAGGCAGCCGGCGAGCCGTGCGCCGCCATTCCGAAGCATCATCATCGCAAGCGCTCCTACAACGGCCGCCCCGGCGGCCGCGTAAGCTGGGCCCCAACAGCTTGCAGAAGTACATGCAGACGACGAAGCTCCACAGGCGACGAGCGGAACACCAGAAGCCCAGCGAGCAGAGGATCGTCCACCATCGAGTCGGAGACGCCGACCAGCCGAAGACAGCGAGAAAACGCCGAATCAACTCCTCAACGAGAAGCCAACTGGTAGGCTGAACGGCCCGAAAGCCGCGGTCGCTGCGAAGCGCCCATCCCACCCAGAATCCCACAAAGGGAAGACAAAAATTGGTCACATGGTAGGAACCTATGTGTAGGAACCTATGGGTTTTTTGTTAGCCGTTTGTACGGCATCTGCACGGTATCATAACCGCCGTGTTGCGTGCGGGCGGTGGTGGCACTCCAGCTGTTGGCCTGGAGGGCGGGGCCTGGAGGCACAGTAAGGCAGCGGCCCCGGATCGTGGCTCGGGACATGTACCGAACAATGACAGACCCCTCTGGCTCAGGACATGTACCGAGTCGGTACATGTCCTGAGCCACGATCCGAGGCCGCCCCAGCATAAGCTGCTCTTTAAATTCTAGTTGATTCTTTTATAACTTTGTAATGTTGGATCGTTTTGGCGACTCGCCATTGAGGGGCACACCGTGGGACCGTGTCCCATGCTCCGACCCAATTTCCCAATGCAAATGGATCATTTAATAAATTATTAAATTTCCAATCGGTCTGGCTACCCGCCACGAGGCGGTACACCGCGGGACCAAGAGCCACGATTCGTGGCTCGGGACATGTACCGAGTCGGTACATGTCCTGAGCCACGATCCGGGGCCGCCGCAGCATAAGCTGTTATTCCAATTCAGGTTGATTGTTTATGTATTTGTTTATGTTTCGGTCGCTCTGGCTACCCGCCACGAAGCGGTATGCCGCGGGCCCGAGAGCCACGATTCGTGGCTCGGGACATGTACCGAGTCGGGACATGTCCCGAGCGAGCCACGATCCGGGGTCGCATCAGCATAAGCTGTTAATCAAATTCAGGTTGATTGTTTATGTATTTATTTATTTTTCGGTCGCTCTGGCTACCCGCCACGAAGCGGTATGCCGCGGGACCGAGAGCCACGATTCGTGGCGCGGGACATGTACCCAGTCGGGCCAAGTCCCGAGCCACGAATCGTGGCCACCCCAGCATAAGCTGATATCCCAATACAAAACTATTATTTACTTGCTTCTTTTATGTTCGATCGTTTGTAAATGGGCATACTAGTATTGTCGCCGACGGGCTCTACGTAGCTGTTTATAGTTCGTTGTAGCGTTCGTTGTTCGTTGGATGGGCGGCGGCACACTGCACTTTGGTTGCGTACCGGCCATATCCTTTCACTTGTCGTTATACACGTATAAACGACACCAACCACCGACAACACACCTCTCAGCTCCCATCAGCTCAGCGGTCACTCGCTGTCACACGCACGGGTCAAAGAATACGACTTGCTCATGGAAGGGTTCCGCAGCAACGGCAGCTAAACGCGGGGAAATCGCACATTACAACCGCTGAAACAGTGTAACCATCCAGCAAGGTACCCAATTTAGCAACGCTAACGCTACCTGCCCAGCCATAAATAAAGCATCATCCAACCGACGATACGCCCCGTTCAACCCTACTGAAAGCTCTCCTATGGGACAACAAACGGTTCCGTACCTCAGGGTATCGTCACGCTAAACTGAAGGATTACTCCAAACAGAGGTGCTAAGTCGCGCAAAACTAAGTAATTCCGTCAAAGTTTGCGCGACTATTAAATGTAAATTGAGTGACAGCCTGCACGACTCAGGAAAACTCCAGGCACTGGGAGCGGGACAAGCGCAAGGCGCAGCTGGACGCTCCCGGGAGGGCCAGCAAGGGCGCCACGCTGGCAAAGGCGGCGGCTCGGGTGAGCGCGGTGAAGGCCGCCGCCACAACAACCCCAAAAACTGCATTTTACGGAGAGTCTACGGAGAGCCTGTACGGTATATAAACCGCATATTACTGGAGGAGACGGCAACCCAATAATACCAAGTGTCCAGTACGATGGTAGTGAAAACCACCGGTTACATGACTAAAAGAATCCAAAATTTTCCGGTGGCAAGATCCCTTTCCACGAAGTCCCCTAGCTGGGGATTGGGTTTGGCTAGTTCAGTCCCGGGCCAGACGGGTAGTTCAGCCCGCTGCAGCCCAGTCCATACACAGGGCAACAGCAGGCCGGACTGGGCCAGACGGGTAGAGATAGAGATAGGTGAGGGCTGACAGGCCTTCACAGGCCGCACTTACGCGCCCCGTGGTCGCTCGCCTAAGCGCGTTTCCCCTGGGTTTGCTCCTTCCTGTCTGGGCTGGCTCGTGCTGTCTGGGCTGGTTGGTCTTTCCTCTGTCCCGGTGTGTTCGCTGCAGTGCACGGCCAGCTGGCCAGCTGGATCTCCCGTTTTGGGTCTGACGCCCGCTGTAACCGCTATTATTACTTCCTTGGGAGGCTGGGTCTTGCTCCTGGCCACTAGCGCCCCCCAGCCGGCCCGCCAGCACAGCTACTCTCGGCCGCTAGCTCCAAGTCCACTCCAAGGCCGCTAGCTCCATGTCCGTGCACTCCGTGCTGAACTGCGTTGCTTAAGGGCATTGGGGTGATTACATTAGGGACGGAAAACGCATAGCTACACAGCTGTTAACGACCATTGGCGCCAGTTATTGAGACTATATTTAACATTTGCTTCTGAAATTGGTCCCTTGACAAAGTTCCGGCGTGGAAGAGACTGCCCACAAGGTTGTTCGGTACTCGGCGAACAGCTGGACCTCGTCGATGAGTCTGATACTTTCCGTAGCTTGCGTGACATGATTACCTGATACCTGAGTTAACTCTGCGAGCAGACCTTGAACTTATTGAGGCATCGCCTTGCTTTGACTTTTGTTATCGACAGTCAAGAACAAGTGTATAGGCAAAGGCGAAAGTACTTAGCTATTTCCAGTGTCAATTAATTATACTTCAATTACATTGAATGTAGAAGGAAGGCGTATGTGGCGTATAGTGGGAACGGCAGTTGGTTTCCGTACTGTCATTGGGCTCCTATCCTGAGCCGGTATATGGTCTGGTCTAGTGACACCTCATGGTCTTAGGACAGTCGAGGTCACAGGTTCGATCCCTGTGGAGACCTCCGGCTACCGCTGGGTGTGAGATTATGGCTAGCTGCTATGAGTGGAGTTGGTGGCCGAGTTGATTGGCCAGGATTCACACGTTTGAGTGGTGGCGATCGCTGAACCCTCTGTCTCGGTGGTAGATTGGGTGAATGGATGAGGTCCGCCCTAGAAGGCAGAACTATCCCAGTTGTCCAATGAGGATCGTCTGGAAGATTCTGTGGTGCGGATGGTGCCCAGAGGAGAATGGGACCATACCGTACAACTGTAACAATCTCTCTCTCTCTCTCGGTATAGAAACCTAATGTCACTTGAACGGACACCTTTACATCGCAAATGGTTACTTTGACGTTGTTGTGGTGCGCATGGCCTTCCTGCGGCGTTTTGTTCGTGCAAGCATGCATGCATCCCGACGCAAATGACGGCAGTCGTCCTTTGTGGTGATGTTTCACCATTGATGGTCCCGAATTTCGATAAGCACATTGGCGCATTTATGCCAAGATCTGCGACAGGAAAGCTGTCAGCCAAACCCCAAACACCCCAAGGCCCCCACGCACCCTGTCTTTCCTCCCTGTAACCTGGGCTGGGGATAGGGGCTGAAGCTTCAGGGCCGATGCTTGGCATCTGGGGCTAAACAGTTAGGGAATGAGGCTGGAGCTTATCCTTGGACACTTGTCCTGAAGCTGGGGGCTACACCTTGGCGGCTGGGGGTGGGGACTAGGAGCTCGGGCTGGGGCTCGCGGTGGAGTGACATCTGGGACCTCAGGCTCGGGGCTTATGGGGCTAAGGCTTGGGCTTGGGGCTCGGGGGATTGAGCACTGGCGCTACGGGGCTGGGGCTAGGGGCTGGGGATTGGTGCAGGAGATCGGAGCTGGGGATAGGTGAGAGGGGATCGGGTCCGGAGATCGGTGGCAGCCTCGGGGCTGAAGATGGGCGGAAGGGGCTCGGGGTTGGAGATGTGCGGAAGGTGCATCGGGCCTGAGATGGGTGGCAGGGGCTCGGGGTTGGAGATGGGGGCGGAAGAGGCTCGGGGACCGGAGATCGGTGGGAGGGGCTCGGGGCTGGGGATGGGCGGAAGGCGCTCGGGGTTGAGATGGGCGGAATGGGCATCGGGCCTGAGATTGGTGGCAGGGGCTCGGGGCTGGGGATGGGTGGAAGGCGCTCGGGGGTGAGATGGGCGGAATGGGCATCGGGCCTGAGATGGGTGGCAGGGGCTCGGGGACCGGAGAACAATGGCACGGGCTCGGGGCTGGAGATGGGCGGACTGGGCATCGGGCCTGAGATGGGTGGCAAAGGCTCGGGGCTGGGGATGGGCGGACTGGGCATCGGGCCTGAGATGGGTGGCAGGGGCTCGGGGACCGGAAAACAATGGCACGGGCTCGGGGCTGGAGATGGGCGGACTGGGCATCGGGCCTGAGATGGGTGGCAAAGGCTCGGGGCTGGGGATGGGCGGACTGGGCATCGGGCCTGAGATGGGTGGCAGGGGCTCGGGGACCGGAGAACAATGGCACGGGCTCGGGGTTGGAGATGGGCGGACTGGGCATCGGGCCTGAGATGGGTGGCAGGGGCTCGGGGCTGGGGATGGGCGGACTGGGCATCGGGCCTGAGATGGGTGGCAGGGGCTCGGGGACCGGAGAACAATGGCACGGGCTCGGGGTTGGAGATGGGCGGACTGGGCATCGGGCCTGAGATGGGTGGCAGGGGCTCGGGGTTGGGGATGGGCGGACTGGGCATCGGGCCTGAGATGGGTGGCAGGGGCTCGGGGCTGGAGATGGGCGGACTGGGCATCGGGCCTGAGATGGGTGGCAGGGGCTCGGGGCTGGGGATGGGCGGAATGGGCATCGGGCCTGAGATGGGTGGCAGGGGCTCGGGGACCGGAGAACAATGGCACGGGCTCGGGGTTGGCGATGGGCGGACTGGGCATCGGGCCTGAGATGGGTGGCAGGGGGTCGGGGCTGGAGATGGGCGGGCTGGGCATCGGGCCTGAGATGGGTGGGAGGGGCTCGGGGCTGGAGATGGGCGGACTGGGCATCGGGCCTGAGATGGGTGGCAGGGGCTCGGGGACCGGAGATTGGTGGCAGGGGCTCGGGGACCGGAGATTGGTGGCAGGGGCTCGGGGCTGGGGATGGGCGGAATGGGCATCGGGGCTGAGATGGGTGGCAGGGACTCGGAGACCGGAGATTGGTGGCAGGGGCTCGGGGACCGGAGATGGGCGGACTGGGCATCGGGCCTGAGATGGGTGGCAGGGGCTCGGGGACCGGAGATTGGTGGCAGGGACTCGGGGACCGGAGATTGGTGGCAGGGGCTCGGGGCAGGGGCTGGGCGGAATGGGCATGGGGCCTGAGTTGGGTGGCAGGGGCTCGGGGCTGGGGATGGGCGGAATGGGCATCGGGGCTGAGATTGGTGGCAGGGACTCGGAGACCGGAGGTTGGTGGCAGGGGCTCGGGGACCGGAGATGGGCGGAATGGGCATCGGGCCTGAGATGGGTGGCAGGGGCTCGGGGACCGGAGATTGGTGGCAGGGGCTCGGGGACCGGAGATCGGTGGCAGGGGCTCGGGGACCGGAGAACAATGGCACGGGCTCGGGGTTGGAGATGGGCGGACTGGGCATCGGGCCTGAGATGGGTGGCAGGGGCTCGGGGCTGGGGATGGGCGGAATGGGCATCGGGCCTGAGATGGGTGGCAGGGGCTCGGGGACCGGAGATTGGTGGCAGGGGCTCGGGGACCGGAGATTGGTGGCAGGGGCTCGGGGCTGGGGATGGGCGGAATGGGCATCGGGGCTGAGATGGGTGGCAGGGACTCGGAGACCGGAGATTGGTGGCAGGGGCTCGGGGCTGGGGATGGGCGGAATGGGCATCGGGCCTGAGATGGGTGGCAGGGGCTCGGGGCTGGGGATGGGCGGAATGGGCATCGGGGCTGAGATTGGTGGCAGGGACTCGGAGACCGGAGATTGGTGGCAGGGGCTCGGGGACCGGAGATGGGCGGAATGGGCATCGGGCCTGAGATGGGTGGCAGGGGCTCGGGGACCGGAGATTGGTGGCAGGGGCTCGGGGACCGGAGATCGGTGGCAGGGGCTCGGGGACCGGAGAACAATGGCACGGGCTCGGGGTTGGAGATGGGCGGACTGGGCATCGGGCCTGAGATGGGTGGCAGGGGCTCGGGGCTGGGGATGGGCGGAATGGGCATCGGGCCTGAGATGGGTGGCAGGGGCTCGGGGACCGGAGATTGGTGGCAGGGGCTCGGGGACCGGAGATTGGTGGCAGGGGCTCGGGGCTTGGGATGGGCGGAATGGGCATCGGGGCTGAGATGGGTGGCAGGGACTCGGAGACCGGAGATTGGTGGCAGGGGCTCGGGGACCGGAGATGGGCGGACTGGGCATCGGGCCTGAGATGGGTGGCAGGGGCTCGGGGACCGGAGATTGGTGGCAGGGACTCGGGGACCGGAGATTGGTGGCAGGGGCTCGGGGCTGGGGATGGGCGGAATGGGCATCGGGCCTGAGATGGGTGGCAGGGGGTCGGGGCTGGAGATGGGCGGGCTGGGCATCGGGCCTGAGATGGGTGGGAGGGGCTCGGGGCTGGAGATGGGCGGACTGGGCATCGGGCCTGAGATGGGTGGCAGGGGCTCGGGGACCGGAGATTGGTGGCAGGGGCTCGGGGACCGGAGATTGGTGGCAGGGGCTCGGGGCTGGGGATGGGCGGAATGGGCATCGGGGCTGAGATGGGTGGCAGGGACTCGGAGACCGGAGATTGGTGGCAGGGGCTCGGGGACCGGAGATGGGCGGACTGGGCATCGGGCCTGAGATGGGGGGCAGGGGCTCGGGGACCGGAGATTGGTGGCAGGGACTCGGGGACCGGAGATTGGTGGCAGGGGCTCGGGGCTGGGGATGGGCGGAATGGGCATCGGGCCTGAGATGGGTGGCAGGGGCTCGGGGCTGGGGATGGGCGGAATGGGCATCGGGGCTGAGATTGGTGGCAGGGACTCGGAGACCGGAGATTGGTGGCAGGGGCTCGGGGACCGGAGATGGGCGGAATGGGCATCGGGCCTGAGATGCGTGGCAGGGGCTCGGGGACCGGAGATAGGTGGCAGGGGCTCGGGGACCGGAGATCGGTGGCAGGGGCTCGGGGACCGTAGAACAATGGCACGGGCTCGGGGTTGGAGATGGGCGGACTGGGCATCGGGCCTGAGATGGGTGGCAGGGGCTCGGGGCTGGGGATGGGCGGAATGGGCATCGGGGCTGAGATTGGTGGCAGGGACTCGGGGACCGGAGATTGGTGGCAGGGGCTCGGGGTTGGAGATGGGCGGACTGGGCATCGGGCCTGAGATGGGTGGCAGGGGCTCGGGGTTGGGGATGGGCGTACTGGGCATCGGGCCTGAGATGGGTGGCAGGGGCTCGGGGCTGGAGATGGGCGGACTGGGCATCGGCTCTGAGATGGGTGGCAGGCGCTCGGGGCTGGGGATGGGCGGAATGGGCATCGGGCCTGAGATGGGTGGCAGGGGCTCGGGGACCGGAGAACAATGGCACGGGCTCGGGGTTGGAGATGGGCGGACTGGGCATCGGGCCTGAGATGGGTGGCAGGGGCTCGGGGCTGGGGATGGGCGGAATGGGCATCGGGCCTGAGATGGGTGGCAGGGGCTCGGGGACCGGAGATTGGTGGCAGGGGCTCGGGGACCGGAGATTGGTGGCAGGGGCTCGGGGCTGGGGATGGGCGGAATGGGCATCGGGGCTGAGATGGGTGGCAGGGACTCGGAGACCGGAGATTGGTGGCAGGGGCTCGGGGCTGGGGATGGGCGGAATGGGCATCGGGCCTGAGATGGGTGGCAGGGGCTCGGGGCTGGGGATGGGCGGAATGGGCATCGGGGCTGAGATTGGTGGCAGGGACTCGGAGACCGGAGATTGGTGGCAGGGGCTCGGGGACCGGAGATGGGCGGAATGGGCATCGGGCCTGAGATGGGTGGCAGGGGCTCGGGGACCGGAGATTGGTGGCAGGGGCTCGGGGACCGGAGATCGGTGGCAGGGGCTC